TCATAGGCACAATCAGAGAACACTGTATAAACATCAGAGGTCCAGTGAAGAGCAGAGGTGCCATAGGCACAATCAGAGAACACTGTATAAACATCAGAGGTCCAGTGAAGAGCAGAGGTGCCATAGGCACAATCAGAGAACACGGTATAAACATCAGAGGTCCGCGGTTGTTCAACGTCCTCCCAGCGAGCATAAGAAATATTGCCGGAACAACCGTGGAAACTAGTTTCCTCCAAGGAGTGCCGGACCAACCGGGCTGTGGTGGGTATGTGGGCCTGGGGGCCGCTCCAAGCAACAGCCTGGTGGACCAAACTCTCACAAGTCAAGCCTGGCCTCGGGCCGGGCTTGGGGAGTAGAAGAACTCCCAGAACCCCATCAACCAGGTATATGTGGGCCTGCGGGCCGCTCCAAGCAACAGCCTGGTGGACCAAACTCTCACAAGTCAAGCCTGGCCTCGGGCCGGGCTTGGGGAGTAGAACAACTCCCAGAACCCCATCAACCAGGTTGAGGGAGGGAGAGGTCTCCCTGGAGCCCACTTGACGCTCCACAAGGTGCTCTTCGTCTACAATACGGGAAGGGTTCGATACCCGATAACCCATTACCAGGTACAACAAGAAGCATGGCAGGGCGCTGGCTTCACCTACAAGGAGTATTAGCTTGTGTCATCCTCCGCGTCATGTCTGTTTGTCCAGGCCAAAAACTACCCTCAGATAAGGCTTCATCATGTTATGTACTAATCTATAGTCTCAGTATTGTAGTGAATGTCTAGTGCTCCAAGGTTGCTTGGTTGGTCTCCACCACATTTAGTGCTGGGGGATCTCCCTGCTCTATTGTGATGACCTCCAGGAATGTGTTGTGGAGTTCTTCACACACCTCTATGTCAGAGAGAGTGAGTGAGTGAGTGAGTGAGTGAGTGAGTGAGTGAGTGTGTGTGTGTGTGTGTGTGTGTGTGTGTGTGTGTGTGTGTGTGTGTGTGTGTGTGTATTTCCTTTTCCCCATCAAGAAGGTACCCCCGCCCCCCCGGCGACACCCCCCCCCCCTCTGGCACAACCAACAAATAGGACCAAGGTAAGAAACAAGAAAAAGTTTAATTTCTTCCCAGACTTTTCACATTGTCCCCCCCCTCCCCCTCCCCCGCCGTGGGTCAGCTGTTGTCACGCCTGAGGGGGGGGGGGAGCAGGGACCATAACGTGCTGTTGGTACCAACACCACCCCCCCTCAGCAGTGGTGGGGGGCAGGGAGTGTGTGGGGGGAGGAAGGAAGGGATGCTGTATTCACCTAGTTGTGCTTGCGAAGGTTGAGCTCTGCTCTTTCGGCCCGCCTCTCAACTGTCAATCAACTATTACTAACTACTAATTTTTTCACCCCCCCCCCGTCCCTCCCTAGATATGGAGTCCATATCTAGTCAAGGATAAGACTAAACTGGAAAAGGTTCAAAGGTTTGCCACCAGACTAGTACCCGAGCTGAGAGGTATGAGCTACGAGGAGAGACTACGGGAATTAAACCTAACTTCGCTGGAAGACAGAAGACTTAGGGGGACATGATCACCACGTACAAGGTTCTCTGAGGAATTGATAGGGTAGATAAAGACAGGCTATTTAACACAAGGGGCACACGCACAAGGGGACACAGGTGGAAACTGAGTGCCCAAATGAGCCACAGAGATATTAGAAAGAGTGTCAGAGTGGTTGACAAATGGAATGCATTAGGCAGTGATGTGGTGGAGGCTGACTCCATACACAGTTTCAAGTGAAGATATGATAGAGCCCAGTAGGCTCAGGAACCTGTACACCTGTTGATTGACGGTTGAGAGGCGGGACCAAAGAGCCAGAACTCAACCCCCGCAAGCACAAATAGACGAGTACAAATAGGTGAGTACCCCAGGAAGCAGCCCGTGACAACTGACTAACTCCCAGGTACCTATTTACTGCTAGGTAACAGGGACATCTGGGTGAACGAAACTCTGCCCATTGTTTTTCGCCACCGCCGGGAATCGAACCCGGACTCACGCATCCAGCGTGCTGTCCAGTCAACCCCGCCGCCCACCCTAAAAAGGAAGGGGGAGGGGGGAGAGAGAGGGGGGGGAGAGAGAGACAGAGAAAGAGAGAGAGCGAGAATCTTACATAAGCATTAAACAATTTTCAAGGATTTATAGAGCAGGAATAAAGCATTTTCATTCAAAAGTGGCACGGCCCACCCCAGGCACGGCCCACCCCAGGCACGGCCCACCCCAGGCACGGCACACTCCAGGCACGGCCCACCCCAGGCACGGCCCACCCCAGGCACGGCCCACCCCAGGCACGGCCCACCCCAGGCACGGCACACCCCAGGCACGGCCCACCCCAGGCACGGCCCACCCCAGGCACGGCCCACCCCAGGCACGGCCCACCCCAGGCACGGCCCACCCAGGCACGGCACACCCCAGGCACGCCACACCCCAGGCACGGCCCACCCCAGGCACGGCACACCCCAGGCACGGCCCACCCCAGGCACGGCCCACCCCAGGCACGGCACACCCCAGGCACGCCACACCCCAGGCACGCCACACCCCAGGCACGGCCCACCCCAGGCACGGCCCACCCAGGCACGCCACACCCCAGGCACGCCACACCCCAGGCACGGCCCACCCCAGGCACGGCCCACCCCAGGCACGGCCCACCCCAGGCACGGCCCACCCCAGGCACGGCCCACCCAGGCACGGCACACCCCAGGCACGGCACACCCCAGGCACGGCACACCCCGGCACGGCACACCCCAGGCACGGCACACCCAGGCACGGCACACACCCCCGGCACGCCACACACCCCCGGCACGCCACACACCCCCGGCACGCCACACACCCCGGCACGCCACACACCCCCGGCACGCCACACACCCCCGGCACGGCCCACCCCAGGCACGGCCCACCCCAGGCACGGCACACCCCCGGCACGCCACACCCCAGGCACGCCACACCCCAGGCACGCCACACCCCAGGCACGGCACACCCCAGGCACGCCACACACCCCCGGCACGGCCCACCCCAGGCACGGCCCACCCCAGGCACGGCCCACAACCCATGCACGGCACACACCCCAGGCACGGCACACACCCCAGGCACGGCCCACCCAGGCACGGCACACACCCCAGGCACGGCCCACACCCCAGGCACGGCCCCCCCAGGCACGGCACACACCCCAGGCACGGCACACACCCCAGGCACGGCACACACCCCAGGCACGGCACACCCCAGGCACGGCACACACCCCAGGCACGGCACACACCCCAGGCACGGCACACACCCCAGGCACGGCACACACCCCAGGCACGGCCCACCCAGGCACGGCCCACCCCAGGCACGGCCCACCCCAGGCACGGCACACCCCAGGCACGGCACACCCCAGGCACGCCACACCCCAGGCACGCCACACCCCAGGCACGCCACACCCCAGGCACGCCACACCCCAGGCACGCCACACCCCCGGCACGCCACACCCCCCGGCACGCCACACCCCCCGGCACGCCACACACCCCCGGCACGCCACACACCCCCGGCACGCCACACACCCCAGGCACGCCACACACCCCAGGCACGCCACACACCCCCGGCACGCCACACACCCCAGGCACGCCACACCCCCGGCACGGCACACACCCCCGGCACGCCACACCCCCGGCACGCCACACCCCAGGCACGCCACACCCCCGGCACGCCACACCCCCCGGCACGCCACACACCCCCGGCACGCCACACACCCCCGGCACGCCACACACCCCAGGCACGGCACACACCCCAGGCACGGCACACACCCCAGGCACGGCACACACCCCGGCACGCCACACACCCCGGCACGCCACACCCCAGGCACGGCACACACCCAGGCACGGCACACACCCAGGCACGGCACACACCCCAGGCACGGCACACACCCCAGGCACGGCACACACCCCAGGCACGGCACACACCCCAGGCACGCCACACCCCCCAGGCACGGCACACACCCCAGGCACGGCACACCCCAGGCACGGCACACACCCCAGGCACGGCACACACCCCAGGCACGGCACACACCCCAGGCACGCCACACACCCCAGGCACGGCACACACCCCAGGCACGGCACACACCCCAGGCACGCCACACCCCAGGCACGGCCCACACCCCAGGCACGGCACACACCCCAGGCACGGCACACACCCCAGGCACGCCACACACCCCAGGCGCAGCACACACCCCAGGCACGGCACACACCCCAGGCACGGCACACACCCCAGGCACGGCACACACCCCAGGCACGGCACACACCCCAGGCACGGCACACACCCAGGCACGGCACACACCCCAGGCACGCCACACACCCAGGCACGGCACACACCCCAGGCACGGCACACACCCCAGGCACGCCACACCCCAGGCACGCCACACCCCAGGCACGCCACACCCCCGGCACGCCACACCCCCGGCACGCCACACCCCAGGCACGCCACACCCCAGGCACGCCACACCCAGGCACGCCACACCCCAGGCACGCCACACCCCAGGCACGCCACACCCAGGCACGCCACACCCCAGGCACGCCACACCCCAGGCACGCCACACCCCAGGCACGCCACACCCCAGGCACGCCACACCCCAGGCACGCCACCCCCCAGGCACGCCACACCCCAGGCACGACACACCCCAGGCACGCCACACCCCAGGCACGCCACACCCCAGGCACGCCACACCCCAGGCACGCCACACCCAGGCACGCACGCCACACCCCAGGCACGGCACACCCCAGGCACGCCACACCCCAGGCACGGCACACCCCAGGCACGTGTGAAGGAGTAGGGGTGGGCAGAAGTAGAGGAACAGACAAGAAGGCCCAGAAATGGAGAAGAGAGGACGCAGACATGGAGGAGGAGGAGGAGAAGGAGCAGACAAAGAGGAGCAGACAAGGAGGAGGAGGAGCAGACAAGGAGGAGGAGGAGCAGGCAAGGAGGAGGAGGAGCAGGCAAGGAGGCTGCACCGGTACTCACGGGTACTGTCGTCGCGGTGAAGGAGATGTTTGGAGCTGAGGAGAGAGAGCGGGTGGTTGGCCGGGCCCACTAGCGACCCCGTGAACCCCGACAGCAGACCTGCGGGTACACCACACTGCTTAGTTGTGTCTGCTTCACTACCACACTCTGGCCACCACACACCTCCACACGTGGCTACCACACACCACACACCTCCACACGTGGCTACCACACCACACACCTCCACACGTGGCTACCACACACCACCACACTGCTTAGTTGTGTCTGCTTCACTACCACACTCTGGCCACCACACACCTCCACACGTGGCTACCACACACCTCCACACGTGGGTACCACACACCACACACCTCCACACGTGGCTACCACACACCACCACACTGCTTAGTTGTGTCTGCTTCACTACCACACTCTGGCCACCACACACCTCCACACGTGGCTACCACACCACCACCACCACACGTGGCTACCACACACCACCACACTGCTTAGTTGTGTCTGCTTCACTACCACACTCTGGCCACCACACACCTCCACACTCTGGCCACCACACACCTCCACACGTGGCTACCACACACCACACACCTCCACACGTGGGTACCACACCACACACCTCCACACGTGGCTACCACACCACACACCTCCACACGTGGCTACCACACCACACACCTCCACACGTGGCTACCACACACCACCACACTGCTTAGTTGTGTCTGCTTCACCACCACACTCTGGCCACCACACACCTCCACACGTGGCTACCACACCACCACCACCACACGTGGCTACCACACACCACCACACTGCTTAGTTGTGTCTGCTTCACCACCACACTCTGGCCACCACACACCTCCACACGTGGCTACCACACCACCACCACCACACGTGGCTACCACACACCACACACCTCCACACGTGGGTACCACACCACACACCTCCACACGTGGCTACCACACCACACACCTCCACACGTGGCTACCACACCACACACCACCACACGTGGCTACCACACACCACCACACTGCTTAGTTGTGTCTGCTTCACTACCACACTCTGGCAACCACACGTGGCTACCACACCACACACCACCACCACCACCACACCACACAACCACACACCACACCACCACACACCACACCACCACCACACACCACACCACCACCACACACCACCACCACCACACATGACAACCACCACCACCACCACACATGACAACCACCACCACACACCACACACCACCACCACACACCACCACCACCACACACCTACACCACCACACACCTACACCACCACCACACCACCACACACCATCACCACCACCACCACACACCACACACCACCACCACCACACACCACCACCACCACCACACACCACCACACACCACACACCACCACACACCACACACCTACACCACCACACACCTACACCACCACACACCTACACCACCACACACCTACACCACCACACACCTACACCACCACACACCTACACCACCACCACACCACCACCACAATCATTGTCACTTATCGTTGCACATATTTCCTGCAAAAAAATACATAATGTTAAGTATTATATAAGTAGAAGTGATGCACTTAAGAGAACTGGAATTTATTAGAGAACAATATTATCATTATATACAAACTCAAGGGTCTCCCCCATACTCTTGTTTACACTCAAGACTGGGAAGTGTAAACATGTTTACCTGTACTTTACCGTAGACAGTTTCTAGGGTTCAATTCACTTTCAACATTATTCTACCATTCCTTCTACTCGCCATTTCTACTTCAACTCGCCATTCCTACTTCTGCTCGCCATTCCTACTTCTACTCACCATTTCTACTTCTACTCGCCATTCCTACTTCTACTCGCCATTCCTACTTCTACTCGCCATTCCTACTTCTACTCGCCATTCCTACTTCTACTCGCCATTCCTACTTCTACTCGCCATTCCTACTTCTACTCGCCATTCCTACTTCTACTCGTTTTACTTCAACTCGCCATTCCTACTTCTACTCGCCATTTCTACTTCTACTCGCCATTCCTACTTCTACTCGCCATTCCTACTTCTACTCGCCATTCCTACTTCTACCAATCTGGGAGTCTTAGCAGTGGGCAACATTCTAGACCCGCCACCGGGGGATCTAGCTCCAATCCCCGGCCTGGACGGTCGGGGATTGAACGCCGACCTGCATGAAGCGAGACCGTCGCTCTACCGTCCACCCCAAGTGGTTAAAAGGGGGGGGGTGTTCAAAATAGCCTCATAAAAATGTGCTCAAATCTCAAATTTTTCTTTGCCAGGGGTAGGGGCTCTCACAAGGGGGGTGGGGGCTCTCACAAGGGGGGTGGGGGCTCTCACAAGGGGGGTGGGGGCTCTCACAAGGGAGGTGGGGGCTCTCACAAGGGAGGTGGGGGCTCTCACAAGGGGGGTGGGGGCTCTCACAAGGGGGGTGGGGGCTCTCACAAGGGGGGGGGGGGTGGGGGCTCTCACAAAGGGGTGGGGGCTCTCACAAGGGGGTGGGGGCTCTCACAAGGGGGTGGGGGCTCTCACAAGGGGGGTGGGGGCTCTCACAAGGGGGGGGGGGGTGGGGGCTCTCACAAGGGGGTGGGGGCTCTCACAAAGGGGGGTGGGGGGCTCTCACAAGAGGGGTGGGGGCTCTCACAAGGGGGGTGGGGGCTCTCACAAGGGGGGTGGAGGCTCTCACAAGGGGGGTGGGGGCTCTCACAAGGGAGGTGGGGGCTCTCACAAGGGAGGTGGGGGCTCTCACAAGGGAGGTGGGGGCTCTCACAAGGGGGGTGGGGGCTCTCACAAGGGGGGGTGGGGGCTCTCACAAGGGGGGGTGGGGGCTCTCACAAGGGGGGTGGGGGCTCTCACAAAGGGGGGTGGGGGCTCTCACAAAGGGGGGTGGGGGCTCTCACAAGGGGGGTGGGGGCTCTCACAAGGGGGGTGGGGGCTCTCACAAGGGGGGTGGGGGCTCTCACAAGGGGGGTGGGGGCTCTCACAAGGGGGGTGGGGGCTCTCACAAGGGGGGGGTAGGGGCTCACACAAGGGGGGGGGGTGGGGGCTCTCACAAGGGGGGGTGGGGGCTCTCACAAGGGGGGTGGGGGCTCTCACAAGGGGGGTGGGGGGCTCTCAAGGGGGGTGGGGGGCTCTCAAGGGGGGTGGGGGGCTCTCACAAGGGGGGTGGGGGCTCTCACAAGGGGGGTGGGGGCTCTCACAAGGGGGGGGGCTCTCACAAGGGGAGTGGGGGGGGCTCTCACAAGGTGGAGTGGGGGGGGGCTCTCACAAGGGGGGGGGGGGGCTGTCACAAGGGTGGTGGGGGGGGGCTCTCACAAGGGGGGTGGGGGGGCTCTCACAAGGGGGTTGGGGGGGCTCTCACAAGGGGGTTGGGGGGCTCTCACAAGGGGGTGGGGGCTCTCACAAGGGGGTGGGGGCTCTCACAAGGGGGGTGGGGGCTCTCACAAGGGGGGTGGGGAGGCTCTCACAAGGGGGGTGGGGAGGCTCTCACAAGGGGGTGGGGGGGCTCTCACAAGGGGGGTGGGGGGGCTCTCACAAGGGGGTTGGGGGGCTCTCACAAGGGGGGTGGGGGGCTCTCACAAGGGGGGGGGGGGGCTCTCAAGGGGGGTGGGGGGCTCTCACAAGGGGGGTGGGGGGGGCTCTCACAAGGGGGGTGGGGGGCTCTCACAAGGGAGGCTCTCACAAGGGGGGTGGGGGGGCTCTCACAAGGGGGGCTCTCACAGGGGGGTGGGGGGGGCTCTCACAAGGAGGGGTGGGGGCTCTCACAAGGGGGGGTGGGGGCTCTCACAAGGGGGGTGGGGGGCTCTCACAAGGGTGGGGGGCTCTCACAAGGGGGGTGGGGGGGCTCTCACAAGGGGGTGGGGGCTCTCACAAGGGGGTGGGGGCTCTCACAAGGGGGTGGGGGCTCTCACAGGGGGGGGTGGGGGCTCTCACAAGGGGGGGGGTCTACACCCAAGGGGCTACAATGAGATAACCAACATTATACATCAACACATCTTCCTAAAATAGTAGTAACTATATCAGTTTAACACACTCCAGCAGGCGTAAAAACCGGAGGGGATGTAGCTCTGTGGTCCAGCACGACCACGTGGATCATATTTAACACCAGCACTTACCTTAGGACAATGCATTAGCTTAGTATGGCTGTAATTAAGAGTGGATGAAGGGGAGGGACTTGCCTGAGAGTTAGAAGAGGTACTTACTTGCAGCAGAGGCTGGTGGGAGGGAGGGGAGCCCGGGCAGCGCCGGGTGGGGGCCCAGGGGGATGGGGGGAGCGTGGCCCGCGTGGGGTAGGGCGGCCTGCTGGGCCTGCATCTGTTGCTGAAATGTAGAGAACCCGGCCTGCACCTCAGTCAGTTGTCGCGCTATGGTGGGGTGGGGGGTGGGGGGTGGAGGGGGTGTGGTGTGTGTGGTGGGGGTGGTGTGTGGTGTGGTGGGGGGTGGTGTGTGTGTGGGTGGGGGTGTGGTGTGTGTGGTGGGGGTGTGGTGTGTGTGTGGTGGGGGTGTGGTGTGGTGTGTGGTGGGGGTGTGGTGGTGGGGGTGTGGTGTGTGTGGTGGGGGGTGTGGTGTGTGTGGTGGGGGTGTGGTGGGGGGTGTGGTGTGTGTGGTGGGGTGTGGTGGTGTGGTGGGGGGGGCGTGGTGGGGGGTGTGGTGTGTGTGGTGGGGGTGTGGTGTGTGTGGTGGGGGCGTGGTGGGGGTGTGGTGTGTGTGGTGGGGGTTGTAAACATAGTGAGTGTGTATGCTAGAGATAGTGAAATCTGTCAAGATACTTCCAGATAGTGAAAAAGAAGAAGGTAGTGACGCTGAAAATTGCGTTGACAGTCTATAATGTACAATGATGATGGTGATTGCATCACCATCCGGGAGAACCTGGGATGCTAAAATGATGGTGAATACGTCAAGATGGTGACGTTATCTCATTATCATACATCAGGTATTGCAGTGATCGGGTCAAAGCTGTATTTCACTTGGTATGAGGACAAGGAGCTGGGATATGAGGACAAGGAGCTGGGGTATGAGGACAAGGATCTGGGGTATGAGGACAAGGAGCTGGGGTATGAGGACAAGGAGCTGGGGTATGAGGACAAGGAGCTGGGGTATGAGGACAAGGATCTGGGATATGAG